GGAAAAGGTGGCTGAATTCCACGGGTAAACACTGAGCTGAATGGCTATTCATCAAGGGGAATATATCAATGATCTTTCAAGTAACAAAAGAGGATAGGAGCACTGTACAAGGTGTGGCCTGGGTCAGAGAGGAGCCCAATGTGCTAGATAGTCATAGACTCAAGTAGTACAATAAAACACACACACTCGCTACTAGACCTCTGTATATGATCAACCTTTTCCACTCTTATATTCAATAGTCATCAATATAGCAGATCTACAATATATATCTGTCTTCTTCACGTTAGACTTAAAGTGCTATCCTACATCAACCCAAGTTGACTGTTACACCCATTGTGACAATTCTTAGACTTCTCATAACCTCATTATTACAATAGGAATCCCCTGGGTTCTAAGCTCTCCAGATGGGGCTATCGCCTTCAGCAAGTGGGTCCACAAGACTAAGTTTTTTGAAGAGACCAATTTTCACTCCTAGCTTTTACACTCGCTCCATACTAACTATTTAGTGGGATTCAAACACGCACTAGTGGCTCTGTCTGTACCGGTGGTAGATTATTTCTCCTCTCCAGCATGTAGATTTACATTTTAGTTCTGTCTGCAGTATATTTAACAAAAGACCCAGAGGAAGGGTGCTTTTGGTGTATTTTTAGTAAGGGGCAACTGGCAGGAGGGCCAAGGCTCAGGTAGCTTATGCCGGGATCTTAGGAGTGTCGGCACGTCGGGTAGTTTTTCTAGACTGAGCTAACCGGCATGTGGCATTGGGAAACGTGTTGCGCGCTGGCACGACGTAAAATAATAAACAAACAACCAATTTTTTGAAATTCGAATTTTCGAATATTCACCATTTCCCCCTCTCCCTCCCTCTCGCGTTCGTCGCATTCCTTCAATAAATTGTAATCGTGTCACTGGTATTTTCATCATGCCACCTGTTCGAAAAAAGCTCCCTAACTCAATGTTGGACAACGCGAGAGTCCGCCCGAGGGCTCCTGCAAAAACACCTGGCCCTGCGCAAAAATTTTCAAGCCTATTTGCGAGTGAGGCCTTTATCCCTGGGAAGTCTTCCACACTTCCCGATCAAGAGATGACTGATTCAGACCCGATCAGAACAGAAACAAATGGTCAACAGACCGGGAAACCCGCCGAGCTGGCCCCGGAGGCAAGCAGTTCAAGGAAAGGAAAGGAAGTCGTCCGAGAGAAAACGACAGAACAAGCAGAAACATCTGCAAGAAAATTCACTGTGCCAACTCCAAAAGGCACAGCTTCGACATCAGCACCGGAATATCCTCCGGAGCTGCAATCAGTGATGGAAGCCGAGAAGCGTCGCACGACGCAAATAAAAGCACGTCTATCAATCTATTCCACTGCAATAAGCAGTGTTGAAGCAGCACTCTCGCCTCTTTCGATCGGCGAGAATAAAGAATTCGTAGATGGCATAAAAGTCTACCTTCGAGCAGCTATTCGCCAGTTCGTTTATTCCGGTCCAGGAAGCACACCACCAGTCCTTCCTACCCGCCCCGCCAACCCTCTCTCACCAAGGGCTCCAGAAATTAGGGCACCTAACTCTACGAAAACCCAGGCTCAGGCCCCAAAGACAACTTGGGCCACCGTAGCTCGGGCAGGCCTAGTCAGCAGCGCTGGGCCATCGACAAAAAAGGCAGCACCGTCCGCCCAGAAAGCAAAAAGTGCCAACTCGAGTGGAAAAGCCGATTCACGACTTTTTCTGCGCCTTGACTATTTCCATCCCCACCGTCTCCTTTCTCCAGCTGGAGTAAGGCTAGCGGTGTCTCAGGCGCTGGGAACCGCTGCCAACAATATCACGTTGGTTCAGCGGGTAAAGACCGGCTTTGCAATAACCGCAAAGGATGAACTCGCTCGAACAGAGCTCCTAGATTCCTCCAAATCATGGAGCGAATCTGGAATCAAACTGGAACCAGCATCAAATCTGGTTGCCATGCAAATTGCCACCGTCCCGGAGACAATTCGAACTCTTGCTGGCCCAATCGCCGTGACGGCAAAGATGGTTGCCGACGAAGTCACGCGAGTGACCCAGTTGGTTCCCTTTCTGGTTCGTCCTCATGGGACTAGCAAACCAGGGGCGCCCTACTCAAATTGATAAGCGCTCTTTCCCCGAGAATCCGCTCCTCGACCTGGATTCCGCCTTTTCGACGACTCTGGAGCTGCAAAGCTCTTCCGACCTCGTCGCAAAATCGAACAATGCAAACGGTGTCTTGAATTTCACGCCACCCGTGGTTGTTCCCGCGCTCCATCTTGCTGGAAAGCGGATCTAATATGCACTCAGAATCAGAGTGCAAAGCCCTCACCCGGTGTCGAAACTGTGGGGGACCTCACCGATCGGATTCCCGGGCCTGCTTAGCCAGACCCAGCAAGTCCGGACCGGTGACAAAAGAGCAGCTCGCGCGGATCCGCCAGATCCAGCAAGGGGAGTTCGCGAAAGTGGCTCGATTTAGGGCTGCAGCCAAAAGGGCCGAAGAGGCAACAATGGCCTCAACGAAGGATGTCTCGATGGCCGAGGGATCGGGTTTCGGAATCCTGGGATCCGAAGAAGAAGTTTGAGGGTACAGCAACCCTCGGTGAAGTCTACAAAAAGCTTCAATATATATAGCAGGATACCAGCTGAATTCAGGGTATCTGCGAACTAGTCTTTCACTCTCAGCGGAGATAAGAAAAAGTCACGTGGAAGATGTGGCAGGAAAGGGAACAGGCGAGAAGTGCAGGATCCGGACCAAACAGTATTTCTTCCAAATTTGATTTTAGTTTTTGATTTATGTTTTTGATTTTAGTTTTGCTGTTAACTTCTACAATTTCAGTAGAAGTTTATGCGGTTGGAATGAGTTGGGCCTGTACGCAGTGATCCTTGCCAGCTCCACCGGTCCTTGACCCAATGTGGAAAAGATAGCGTTAGCTTAGGACCAAAAGTTAAAAAAAAAAAAAAAAAAACAAACAAATTCGCTTGCTTGGGCCTAAGCGCCTTGAGGATTTTACAAATTTTGCGCAGGAAACCGGCTGCTTCGGCGACTCACCTGCAAGTCCGTCACCAGCTCTTAGCGGAGACAACATTAACTAGGTCATAGCACGAAGCATGACAGGAAGGAAAACGAGACGAGGAGTGTCGCTTTCCCACCTCAAATTGGAGTATTGGATTTGGAATTTTGGTTATGGGAGTCTGTGGGAGCATTTATATTCTTTCTTATAACTAGCTACTGGTTGTGTAGTGGGTCACGCAGTGAGACCGAGTCGGGCATGTGGGAAGCATGATCTTGGCCGTGTACACCGGTCCTTGACTCCTAGGAGATATAGAGCATAGCTTAGGACCTAAAATTTATAAAAAAATAAAAAATAAAAAACTCGCTTGCGCCTTCGAGATGTTACAGGGAAAAGGCCGTAGATGGAGAGTCATAAGCTCCCCCAGGGGTATCAGTGGTTATTTTAGTAGTCAATTGCTGGGAATAATAAGACACGGCGTAGGGCGCTTTTGTTTGGACACACTATATTGTTTTCTTATGTTTATTTCTCATAGTTTCTTTGGCAAGTAAAGCCATGCACGTAGGTAGTAGTAGTGAGTCTGTATAGGTCACATACCCGTATCACGCCTAGTGGATGTAGGGCACATGCCTGATACAAATAGCAATCAAACTCAAACTTGCTTGCGCCTTCAAGATAAGGATGGGCCCTGTAGCCTTAAACAGCCCAGCCAGAAGCCAGCCGGGCCTAGCCCGTAACATGACTACTGTATACACACGATCCTTAAAAAGACTGAGAAAAGAATGAAGATACACGTTAATCACTCATTGTTACTACTGCTTCAAAAAGCTTGTGAAACAAACAACACCTCTTTATTTCGACAATTAAGTTTTGTCTGCACAAATAGGTCCATCCTTAAACACTGAATCCCAAGGCTTTTGTGATCCCGAACTCCCAGTGATCTAGCAACAACCAGTCACTCAATTATCGCATATTAGAATTTCGGAGCCGATGAATTAAGGATACTACTATGTCTAATGTCGCCCAGCCAAGCTTAATTATCTGCAATCGAATCAGTGCACTGATGTTGATGATCATGCCCAGAAATCTGAATCTTCGTACATACTGAAAATTATATTTCCAACACAGCCTTGTCCCGTGAGTTACTTGAAAGGATGATGACTGGAGATCTTTGCAGACTTATGCCTATTAGCTGATTCTTTTCTGTTGATAGATTAGGTAGGAGTATATTAGATTTTATTGAAGTCCTACCTGGGCCTATGGCTATGGAGAACTCCTAGAATCTACATGAGAAACCAACAATCTTTGAATTGTTCTCTTGTAGACAGTGAGGAACAAGTCCACTTGTTGATGAAGTAGAGGAGAAAACTTCATACGACAAATAAAGGACTCACGCACGTTCTCAACTCGTCGCTAAATAGATCTATCGGGCTTACTTCATCACCTGCCAGGGCTGAATAGCTTCCGGATCCAATGAGATAAGAGCGTGTAATTGGCACACTGATTGTTCGCTACTCGAATTTAGTTGCATCCATTCACGGTCAGTTTTCGTGGCTGCAAGCTCTATTGAATGCAAGCCATTCATCGCTAGTTTATGAGCCGGATTCATTATCGAAAATGAAAAGGGAGCTATCTGGAGAATTCAACAGAGTTATCCGAGAAGGTATGACTTGAAGTAAATTTCCACATATTTGTAAATGGAAGGAATTTTTTTTGGTAAAACACCAAGTAATACAAATTGGGTGCCTTCACGAGGTCCGTGAATAAAGTCAATTAACTGGTATCACGATATACATCTAACGTTGTCTCTTCCTCTAGTCCGAGCGCCTCGCTAATAAGCTAAGTCAGATCTCTGTCAGAGTCCTAACGACAACCTGAATACCGCAATTATATAGGACAATTCATACTGCACAAATATAATTCTTTTACCGACAATATAGAACTTCTCCCACAAGATGGCTTCAACTCATTCACTTGGTTTGCCAGAGTGTATTATACTATGCGCCTATACTGCCAATTGGCCTAATAGATTCAAGCCTGCCCTGGACTGTCTCAAGGTTTAAATGTGAGTGCCGACTCCCTGAAACTACTTGACTGATTACGCGCTTTTCGTGTTCCTGCCATTGCGCACTTTTCAAGATGTTTTTGATTTTTGTGGACAGATGATTGTGGGTATTCCAGATTTCGTGGTTGTCTCCTAGCACGTAATAATAAAGCATGGCTGCGTTCTGATGCTCCGCGCCTATCAGGGTGAGAGGGAGCCAGCCGTGTTCTTCTCTCCATTGGAATAGGTGTGGTTGTCCTTGATACCAAGCAAGCGCCACCGAATTTGTCGACCAATTCCTACCTCGAAAAGCTACGCCGTCATTAACTAATTCCCAGAGATGAAATTGCTTATCAGCGTCTATGGTTATTCCTTTTTCATTGTTTGTCGGGAAGAGGTTTTTATATTTTCCAACCACAGTGAGACCATACTTTAGGGCTAATTGAGCCACAATCTTCGGAGGACAATAATAGCTATCAATTTTTGACCAGGGAATACTGCGTTGAAAAAGTGATGGAAGATAATTGTTATGTAGTCTATTGTCCAAGTTGGCCAAGGTATCCAAGCATTGGTGAAGTATATCAGCAGGAGGAAAAAGGTTATTTTGTAGATGAAGCTTTAGATCCACCATTTCGCGACCCACTTTGTCGAAAATATCTCGACTTTTCAATGTCTTTGAACAATAGACCGAAATATATGTACCCAAGTCTTTGACCTCGACGTCGGTTTGTTTTATATCGCCATTAACTGTAGGGAATTTACTTTCTATAGGATCGTAGATTTTGTACATTGACTCATATGGGTTATTGGCAACTAAAACTATTTGATTGACAGATAATGAATAGGCTGACGTCTTCAGGAAAAACGCGACAACGCATGCCATTATTGCGAGGCGGCTCTAAGTATCTTGAGGATTCGTGAGCTTGTGGGGTTAGTGCTTGGTACACTAAGTAGGTTACCCGAGACCTTTGTAATGGCTGGTTGGACAAAGAAAACAGTAATGAAGAGGAACCTTTGTAGGCTATGGAAAATGATTAAAACATCGAAAGAGCTACTGATGAGATTCAATATAGGCATTTGAGCACCATGGCAGATTATCAAGGTTATATTATCACTGTTCAATCAGTAATTTGGTGCTATTTTCGAGTCAAGCTTAGTCGCATTAACATTGCACAGCATTAACCTTGAAGAAAGTTAATATACAACATGGGGGAGAGGGTAGATACAAGGAGACAAGAAATGAAGTAATCTGTTCCCATAGTCTGGGCAGAGTGTCTTGCAAGGAAGATTAGAGTGGTCGCACTTTTTGTTGTGATCAGGCCCACTTATAGATCACACAACTTGGAATGGCTAGTATTAGGCAAGTTTAACCGACAGGACAGCCGGCAAAGACGAATTCTTCACCTTCCAGTGGTGCCGGTGTAATCGCTCAGTATGCTCTGCATATCTGGGATGGCCAAGAAGAATCGCATCCAAATCGAAGTCGAAAGCAAACACATGCATATCTCCATTTGACGACCTCTCAATCATGCAGCACTCACTATTATCTTCTGAGTCCTCAACCTCTTTCTAACCACACATCATCTCGCCTCGCCGACCGATAAAGGCGTCACCCCAATTGCAAACAGGAGCTTGCCTCATTTATCGCCAGCTGTCACGGTTTCAGTACAACATGCTTGGGCGATCTTGCAGGTACAGTATAATAATTATAATTCTCTAGAGAGAGAATTCCTGTAGCTAGAATACAAATATATATACACTCTGAGATACTCCTCTTCTGTAAGGTTCTCCCTATATCTGTAGTAACATGGAATCCTCGACAATACCCTAGAAGATTCTTGATACACCTGTGGTCCTCATGAACCTTCAGTATGCTTCCAGAAAGTTCATTGAGAATCTTCTAAGCTCCTTGTATTCCGAGATCCTTCCCGAAGATTCCCATGCATTCATTGCCTGCGCTAGCCAGCGTAGGCTACAGGAATCCCTAGGCTTAACAGCTGTTACACCAGCCATCATGTCACGGCGTAGAATAGGCATAAGTGAAAGTACAGCTTGTATGGCGATAATTCAATCTGTGAAGCAAATACTAAGCTGGAGAAGAATAGAAAAGAACAGGATCTCATTACAAAAAGCCCTGAGGCTATTCCTATTCGGGCGGGCTTCCACTAAATCGCCGCGTCCGTGCTCCTTCCTGCATCAGCCATCAGTCTCACATCCTCCCTCCACGTAATTGTATATCATGGCGGAGCAGAATGCCGTGCCGTGACATCACCCCCTCCTCAGCCTTCGATTGTCCCAAATCGACTAATTTCTGCGGCGGCGTTGGTTGTCACGACCTTGGTTGGTCACCATATTATCTTCCCGATGTTCCTCACTAAATCTATCATGTGCGGCATCGTCCAACCACGTAGCGAGACGTCTTGGTGGCCCTGGCAATTTAGGGTGCTCAGCGTGGAACTTTTCTAATATGAGGGGTGCGTTCCGAAAGTTGGCAGCCGGATACCATTCCTCGTCTGCGTCCCAGCCTTCCCATTGAACCTTGTACTGCAGCCGATTGCGATACAGCCGCGCGTCTAACACCTTCTCGATCTCCCATTCTAACTCTCCATTGACCTCTTCTGCCGGCGGCTCTGGATTGGCCTGGCCGGGCAACGGATTATCTGGATCTTTGCGCAGTCGGTCTGGTGAAAATACAGGGTGTATTTTCCAAGAGGCGGGTAGTTGAACGCGGAATGAATGCCCTTCTTTGGCAATGATCCGATATGGTCCCACCATTGGATTTTCCAGCTTATCCGACGGTCTCGTAGTTCTCCAAGCACCGCGCCGGATATACACTTTATCTCCAACGTCAAAGTCTACTTCTCGGCGATGTTTATTGGCTTGAACACGCTGTTGTTCCTGTGAGCGTTTGATGCTCTCTTTAGCATAATCCAACGCGCTGCTAATCCGTTTAAGCCACACCGCGGCCTCGTCCCGATTCAGCTTCTCTCGAGGGGTTCGTGGCTCCAGTCGCTGATTCCAGTCAAATTCTAAACGCATTTCGTAACCATAGTCAATCATTGATGGCGACAATCCTGTAGATTCATTTGGAATAGCTGCCGCAGCAGCATCTAGAGCGGGAAGCAGCTCCGCCCAATCGTCTTGGTGGAAATTGACAAATGGTCGCAGTCGCTGGTCAATGATCTGGTTAATAATTTCGGTCTGGCCGTCTGTCTGCGGATGTTCTGCCGTAGATAGCTTGAGTTTGACGCGCGCTAACCTTGACAACTCATCCATGAAATCCGAAATGAATTGCGGACCGCGGTCGCTGGTAATGGTCTTCGGTGCGCCACGGAATCGCCAGACATAACGGTAGAACAAGTCTGCAGCAGTCTTTGCTGTAGCACTTTTAGTGGTGGGGATGGAGATTTGGCGTTTAGACAATCTATCAACAGCTACCCAAATGTTATTAAACCCTCGTTTGTCTGGTACCCCCACATCGTGAAAATCCATCGATATATCATCCCATGTACGTTCTGGAATGGCTAAAGGCTGTAGTAAGCCCGGTGTCTTGTCTCTAGGCTTATGCGATCGTCGGCAGACATGGCAGTTCTGCACATAACGCTCGATGTCTGCTGCGTATCGTGGCCACCAGTACCGGTCGCCGATTAGTTTCCTCATTTTGTTTCGTCCTGGATGAGCGGTGGATGTAGATTCGTGGATCATCTTCAACACTTGAGTACGGAGATTGTCTTTGGCTGACACCACCACGCGTCCCTTATGAAGCACCAACCCGGTAGGTTCCAAAGAATAAGGTTCTTCCCGCTGTCGTGCTTGCTGGCGTAGATCCTCGAGATCGGGATCTGCTCGGTTGGCCATAAAAATACGATCAATAGTATCCAGATCCTCGTCGATGGGCGCTAACACCTTGCTGTCATGTGGCAACGTAACTTTCTTTTGAGGGAGGAGGATTTTCGTACGTTCCAGTTCTTTTGCAGCTTTTTGTGTAGGGGTAAGTTCTTTCTTGCGAGATAACGCGTCTGCCAGAATATTTTCCTTGCCTGGTCGGTACTGAAGGTCGAAACTGAATTGCGATAGCACCTCTGACCATCGGATTTGCCTATCGTTGAGTAGCTGCTTCTGACCAAAGTATTCCAGAACTCGGTGATCAGTCAGAATCACGAACGGCTCCCAGGTGCTGGTGAGCTCTGCGCGCCATTCTTTCAAGCATTAGATGATAGCCAACAGCTCCTTATCATGGATCTCATAGTTTGCCTCCGGACCAGTCAAGGTTCGGGAGTGAAAAGCCACAGGATGCCACACGCCTTCCTCCTGCAATTGACTGAGTACTCCTCCTGTTGCTAGATCAGAACAATCGGTCTCTATACGTGTAGGCTTCTTCTGATCGAAGTACAGTAAAATGGGTGGGCTGACCAATTTCTCTTTCAGGGCAAGGAACGCTTCTTCAGCTTGCTCGGTCCATTGGAACAACTGGCCTTTTGGGATTGCTGTCAGGTTGTACAGTGGCTTAGCAATCCGGGAGAAATTCTCTATAAAGTTACGGTAATAGTTGCAGAACCCCAAGAAGGATTGAATGGCAGTCTTGCTAGTAGGTCTCTCCCATGCGCGAATACTTTCCAGCTTCTTCGGGTCTGGCAGGAGTCCGGAAGTGTTAACAATGAAGCCCAGAAAATTAACAGATTTTTGATTAAAGCGGCACTTCTTAATATCCACCTGCAGTCCAGCCCTGTCCAAACGCTGAAGGACCTCGCGTACTTCTGCCACGTGTTTACTTTTATCTTCAGAGTGGACGCATACATCATCCATATATGCGGAAACGTAAAGAGCGAGCAGATCGCCTAGGACCGAATTGATATATCTTTGGAAAGTGGCCGGGCCACCTGACAGACCAAAAGGTAACACGCGGTAACGGTATTGACCGAATCGAGTACGAAACGTAGTCCATCCCACGGAGTCTGGATGCATCCGGATACGGTTGAACGCATGGATGACATCTAGAATGGTGAATTTCTTAGAACCAGCCATCTTGGCTAATGTCTCACCAATGAGGGGCAGAGGATAGCGATCTTTCCGCGTGTGTGCGTTTAATTTCCGGTAGTCTACACAAAATCGAAGGTCTCCATTCTTTTTCTTGACAAACAAGACCGGGGAATTGAACGGAGAATCGCTGGGTTCGATGAACCCGTTCGCCAGGTTCTCCTCGATGTAAGCATGTACGGTATCTAGCTCTTTCTGATTCATTTTATAGAGGGGAGCTTGCTTGAGCTCAGGCTCGCTATCCAGATTGATCTTATGGTCGAACTCCCTATGCGGCGGCAATTCCTTTGCGCGTCTTTTGGAGAAGACATGGGCAAGATCGTGATATTCAGGAGGTAATTGGGCCAACAATTGTGTCTTCTCTTCTTCTTCAGCGAGCTCCGCAATGTGCGCAATCTCTGTACCGTCGCAAGCGGTTTCCATTTCTACGAACCAGCATTGGTCTTCCGCTTCAATTGTCTCAACCTCGACGGCTGAAAGCGTAGGTGTGTCCATTTCGTCTAGACCCAGATCCTCCTTTTTCTTATCGTAGGCTTCTTGTCGCTCCTGCAGTGTAGGCCGGGGAGTCAGAATAATTGAAGGGGTCGCCGGCGCTTCTGCTACCATTGCAGGGCGTTTCAATATCTGCTTCGGCATAAAATGTGGAGATCTTTTAGCAGGAGGTTTGTTGATTTCTAGAGGGGGCAGTTCAATCAGTCGGTCACGACGGTTAGCGTCCCACTGATGATCATTGCGGTCTTCTGGCCACCACAGCCGGTGTCGCACGCAATCTGGGAGTACGTTATGATAGGCCAGCCACTGCCGACCGAGGATCACATTGTTCTTGTTACCAAGTGTGGTAGCAAA